CATCAGTATGGCAGACCAATTATTCACTCAACCCCATGAGGTCCCAATCATTATTTGCAAGAAGTGTCAATATGCAGTGAGACCAAAGGAGATCATTCGACACCTCCAAAGCACCCACCATCGGGTCTGTGAGAGAAGGTCTATAGATAGCGCAGTGAGTGTTATGAGAAGTATATGCGTAGTATTCACGGTACTAATCGCTGATGTCCTGTCCTCGGCCATCAGCGAGGTTAAGACTTTATGTCGCGGTCATGTGACGTGCAGGTGCTTATTAACCGCACGTGCACGTTATGTACATGCATAAGTCCGCTATGCGGCTTTGTATCCTAACATGGTCCTCTTTCTTCTCGAGAGCCACGGCCTCGTGGCGTATAATAAAGCATTGAACAAATAAGGGGGAATGCATTGAGCGTGTAGACAACCATGGTGTATAAAGAAGTCAAGAGTCGCGTATAAACAAAGGATTGATAGTCGTTTGTTGCACTGAGGCTGTTACCTTGTAAATTGCAAGTAGTGTGTCTATGTGAGTTGCCATAGTAATTTGGTGTGGTCACACATTTGCATTTATTGTTGTATCACACTGCTGAATTGGGCATAGCGTTGTGCTGAGGTGAGCATGTTTATGTTTGTTGTGTAGGGCTCTTGGCTTTTTCCTTTTCATAGCAATGCTGCATTTCTTCATGCCAGTACAACTTTTTGCCAGTAAGTTGTAGAGTATTTCTTTTTGCTTTGTTCAATTATCTGTATGTCCTTCTCTTTGCTTGCACATTTTCAACTCATTTGGGGTTGTTTTGACGCAGTAGTACTGTGTTGGTGTTCTTTGTTGTGTTGGAGCTTTTGTGTGCTTGTTGCACTGTTTTCCTTCTTTTTCTGTGCCAACTCCTGTCGCGTACATAAGGATAATAAAATGCGCATCTGCGTATTTCAAAAAAAACAACATCTCTGTTGCAAATGGTTCCTATTTAGCGCGCTAATATCATCTGTAGGAATCTCAGGATGGTGCGGCGTGCTTGTGATCATGTTCATTTTCCTGCTTCCCGACATGACTACCCTTTTACTCAAAAGGAGCTCAAGACCATCCGCCATGCTGGTCGAATTCTGCGAAAGTATGGATTGGTTTCAGAACATGCATCTCTTTGTTTTGACAGTGACTATGAGTCTTCTACCAACAACGAAGGTGCAGCAGGACCTGATCACTTGCATATACAGGAGGATGGAGACATGGAAATTGATGATATGGAGGAATTTGTCAGAGAGCTAGTGGAGGAGGTTGCAGCTGAGCAGGAGGCTGCCATGGTTGAATGTCTTGATGCTGAAGAGTCAGAGTTTTGGTCCAATATGGTCGCAGATTGGTGTGCTTGATGCGTCTGATACCTGGCAGTGGATCCCTTGCATGTTTGCATATTTGAGAGTCATGCAGATAAGTGTCGCAGGTGTGTTGAACAGGGTCATGGTGGTGGTTTGGCTTGTGTTGAGGTGAGTGGCTTTTTTTTTTTTTTTTTTTTTTTTTGAGTTCTGTTTGACATGTTTTTCGCAGACTCCTTGCAAGAGTGATGAACAAGTCCGCCATTTGCTCTACCAGGCTCACCAGGCTCATCATTACAACACGGACATCGCGAAGGTGCGGGTTATTGGTATGGCGAAGAAGGTCGGGGTGGACATGAAATGTAAGCCTATTCATGGCAATCATGTTGCAGCACCAACTGGACATGTTGTCATACAGGTTCCTGGAGTGCATTCTCAGACTCCTTCGCCTGCTGGTCAGGCAGATGATGATTCAGAGGTGCCTCCATCTACTGTGTGTACTATTATTGGTCGCTTCAAGGATGTTTTCCGTCTGGGCTAGGTTGTTCGTGTGTGGGGAGGTCTTGTCATTGGATGATGTATGTAAACAGACAAGATTAATGGATCTTTATTTGTGGTATCATGCACTGCATTGTGGTTTCTTAGCAGTAGCCGGTCTTTTGGTTTTTCTGGCCATGTATTCATCCAGCGCTGTGGAGTCTGCAAGATGTTCCTCAGGTTCCCATGTGGCATCTGATTTCAGCCATCCTTTCCACTTAACAAGGTATTTGTGGTGATTTCTGACTTTTCTGTCATTCAGTACTTCCTCAACTGCATACTCGTCATTTTCATTGACTGGTCCCGGGCGATCATGCGGTTCGTTCGTGCCTTTCCATGGCTCAAGTAAGGAGACGTGGTATGTTGGATGGATGTGGCGCCATGCGGGAGGAAGCTGTAGAGTATAGGCTTGTTTGCCAACTGTATGGACGATTTGGAAAGGGCCAATCTGTTTATCGTCAAGCTTTTTGGCCGGTCTGCCCGTCTCGATATTCTTGGTGCGGAGCATGACCCATTCACCAACTTTGAAAGTGCAGGGAATGCGCTTTTTGTCATACTGGATTTTCATGGCATCTTTTGCTCTTTGGAGTCGTTCTTTGAGAAATTCTTGCATAACTGCGAGGTCTTCCGTCCGTTCATGGACATCTAGATGCGCTGATTTCATTGGGTTGTCAACATTTAGGCGCAAGTCTGGAATGAACACTTTGACTGCATTTGCTGGGGCCATTCCCAGGGCACTGTGTTCTGCAGTGTTGTATGTGAGTTGTGCAAGTGCAAGCCAGCGTGTCCAATCATCTTGGTGCCAGTTGGTGTATGCACGTAGGTAGTGCTCAAGTGTTTGGTTTTGGCGTTCAGTTTGCCCATCAGTTTGTGGGTGATATGCAGTAGAGAGACATCATTTGACGCATAGGTTATGGCACAGAATGGACCAAAATTCACTGGTGAATAAGGACCCTCAGTCACTTACTATGTTTGCAGGCATTCCCTCATTGCGGATGAAATCATCATAGAATAGTGTGGCAAGGTCATCTGCATTGATGTCTTTTGTGCAGGGAAAGTACCATGAGTATTTGGTGAACATGTCCATGATGACGAGTACTGCGTCATAGACATTTCTGCGCCATTTTGACGGCGGTAAACCTGTGATGAAGTCCATGCTGATCCAGTCCATCAGACGTGCGGGTACTGGTAGTGGCTCAAGCAAACCATAGGGCTTATGGCGGTGCGTTGAGATGTTCTGACACTGCTGACAGTGTTGAACGTAGTCCTTTACATCACATCCCATACCATGCCAGTAGTAGCGGGAGCGGATGCTCTGGTACATGCATCTTTCCCAGAGGTGCCCGCCTTGCGGGTCATCATGATTGATCTTTAGGATTTCTTGGATTATTGCAGAGGACTTGGGAATAAAGACACGGTTTTTGAACCTGAGCAGTCCATCTTCTGACTTGCTCCAGGGCGAATCACTCAGCGCAGTGCGCTCTTTGGAGGTCAACTCTGACAGAATGCATGAGGTGTCCTTGTCCTTGGACTGGAGTACTCTTATCAAATCTGCCATTGACTCCACAGGTGCGGCACTATACGCTGTCTCAGTACTCATGGCTGCCCTAACCATGAGCCATGACACCAGGATATCCGGAATTCCTGTATTGCCATCGGTGTGATTCTCATCTGCGGCTTTGCATTCTTCTGCGCAGGAAGTATTGTGTGCACAAATGGGAGTGGTTCTTGGTTCCCAGCGCGCGAGCATTGCGACCATCTTAGGTCCATTTTCAAAAATTTCTTCACTTGCTTGTGGGATTGTAGAGGAGCTATGGCAGAACTTTCTTTGAAGTGTCGGGAGCAGTGCATCTGCACCAAGGCTCTGACCTTCTCTGGGCTCATAGTCCGGACGACGGCTCAGCGCATCTGCGGGATTCTTTGTCCCGGGGCAGTGCTGGATGATGAAATTGAACGCAGCAAGCTTTTCCACCCATCTTGCCTGCCACCTGTTTAGTTCAGTGGTCGTCATGAAATAAGACAGGTTGGCATGGTCAGACAAGACAGTGATTGTATGCATACTACCCTCTAGGTAGTGCCTCCAGTGTTTGAATGATTCGACAATGGCTAAAAGCTCTTTGTCATGTGTACCATAGTTTATTTCTGCGCCTTGGAACTTTCTGGACCAGAAGGCGATGGGATGCCATTCACTGTCATCATGCAGCTGTGCGCAGACTCCAGCCATGGCAAAGTCAGATGCATCAGGTTCGATGACAATCTTGTGCTTTGGATCAAAATGTGCGAGTAGTGGTGCGGATGCAAATTTGGTCTTGAGGTCATTGAAAGCACGCAGTGCGTTTTCTGGTAGCTCAAAGTTGGGATCATCATAAAATTCTCCTTTCCTGAACTTCCGTTTCCCTGTATGAGCGGGTTTTCCTTTTGTTGCTTCGTTAAGTGGTGCGGCTATCCTAGAGTATCCATGGATAAACCGGCGGTAGAAGTTCGCGAAGCCAAGGAACATGAGGATGTCATGCACACTTGCAGGGGCTGGCCAGTCCAAGATGGTATCAACTCGTTCACGCTCCATTGAGACGCCCTGCGGACTAATCACAAAACCCAAGAAGTTCACAATATCCGTATGGAATGCGCACTTACTCAATTTGCAGTATAGTTGGTACTTTTGCAGGCGTTCTAACACCATGCGCACATGCTGAATGTGCTCCTCCTCAGTGCAGGAGTAGATGAGGATGTCATCAAGGTATACAATACAACATGTGTCAAGAAGGCCGCTGAGGGCTCGGTGTATGTAAGATTGAAAAGTTGCTGGTGCATTGGCAAGGCCAAATGGCATGACTTGGTATTCAAAATGTCCGTATCTTGTGCGGAAGGCTGTTTTCCATTCATCACCCACGCGGATTCTGATGCGGTGGTATGCATCGCGCAGGTCGAGCTGAGTAAAGATTTTGGCACCTGATAGGCGATCCATGATCTCGCTGACGAGAGGAATTGGATAGCGGTTTTTGATGGTGATCAAATTTAGACCCCGGTAATCCATGCATAGGCGGAGACCGCCATCCTTCTTGGGTGCAAAGAGAATCGGGGCACCTGCGGGACTTGTGGAAGGTCGGATCCAGCCTAACTCAAGGGCTTTCTGCAGGTATTCCCATACAACTCCAAGCTCGTTTTGTGATAGGGGGTATATTGGTTTCAATGGAGGAGGTTTACCCGGTTCTAATTCAATTGCATGGTCGTGGTCCCCATGGGAGGCAAGGATGCCTGCCTCATGTTCCGAGAAGACGTGCGCATAATCAATATATTGCAGTGGTATTCCTGGTTTGTCTGCAGGTTTTTCATCCGTGGATGCAGCAGCCAAGTATCCTGTGTTGATATATGTTGTTCTCTGTTCATGATGGGGCTGTATCATATAGACTGAGTCACCCTGTTCAAGTAGCATGGCGCAGGTCTGTGGGGAGATGACACTGATGTCATTCTGTCTGTCTCTGCAGGATCGGTAGAACCAATGTTTCTCAGACCATTGTATATCTGGGTCTACCCGTTCGAGCCAGGGGTAGCCTAATATGAGGTCGTATTCAGTCATGTCGACTGATTCCATTATCTCGATGTGGTCTTGAAGTTCCATATGTGTATCGCCAATCGTGAGGTGTAGTTCTTGTGAGCCATATGATTTGACAGTGGTGTCATTGATGGCCCTCACTTGGCGCACTGGGCTATCAATGTCAGGGAGGTGTTGCTTGGCCCAACGCTGTTGTATGAAGTTTGCTTCAGCTCCACTGTCTAGGAGGCAATATGCTGATTTTGGTCCTTGAGGTGTCTCTACCAAAACAGTGAATGTCAGGTGTTTTCATTCGGTCTGTTCAGGCTGCAGTGCGGCAATGCCCAGTACAGTAGCAGCTCCCAGTACTGGTCCATCTAGTTTTTTGGCTTGCCAAAGTCTTTTTTCCATGGCGCACTGCGGCATTCATTTGGTGGGTGTGGTCCTTTCTTGCACTTCCAACAAAATTGAGGTTTTTGTCCATCATTGGGATCTCTTTTGCGCTTTTCACCTGTCCATTGATTTCTTGGGCGATCTTGAGGTGTGGAGGAGTTGGTGTTCTTTCTCTCTTGGTATTTTCCACTGTAGCAGTTTCTCTTGGCACTGTTGAGTACATGAGGTCTGCCTGGGATGTTGTCTTCAACGCCGCGGAGCCAAGAGATATAACTGTGGTACTCTTCAGGTTCACCCTGCATTTGTTGGGCTAACCTGCAGATGGGTTCATACAATCATACTAGCAGGTGTACTTTTCGTTGGTGGTCTTTGTAACTCAGTCCTGCTTGCTCTTCCAGGCTGTCCAGAACATTGGCAAATTCAGTTACTGATTGATATTCTCTTTGGTTTGCCCTATGGTAGTTTAGTGCCGCATTGC